TTTTAATTTTTTTTTTTTTTTTTTTTTTTTTTTTTTTTTCAATTTTCATGTCGATCCTACACGCCGCTCGCGACTACGCATTACTTATCCGTGCGAAGAGGCCGCTCAAAACCGGCGCAAAGGTCACGCTTTTTTGCCGCAACTGCGCGACGTGCTCGTTCGTTCGACGATCCGTGATGATGTATATGTCTTATGTCGGTGCGTGCTGCGTGCGTGCGTATGTACGCATGTGTACGTGCATGTGTTGAGTTTACTCGCGCGTGTGTGTATGGTCTTTGGTTTCTACAAAAAATATATATAATATCCTTAACAGTAGTGATCATTACAGTCGACTCCTGATTTAAAAATCTCAAACTTATCGTGTTATTCTCTACGATATTCTTAAAGGGGTGAGGGGTCGTCGTGCCTACAGGAGAGAAAAACGTGCCGTCGGGGCGCTTGACTTTGTTTACACGAATCATATGTATAATATATATATATATATGTATATATATATATATATTTTTTTTTTTATTCTTATTTATATATGTTCAATTTATATATATTTACATGGTCGGCGACTATGTGCCACGCGAGCGCGCGCTCGCGAGGGCGGTCACGACCACCGCGTGGAAATTACACTAACTGAGGATCATTAAATTAAACTACCTACCATCGCGGCTCTCCAGAGAGCGGCGACGCCGTCTTCAACGCTTTCGAGCACTCGAGATTCACTCGCATCGCCACCATTAACAATCGATAAGTCAATCGGTCGATGATTCTTCGGATTACGATTAATAAATAAAACATAGAAGGGAAACGTTCATACCGCGAAGAACAGTGGCGATACGAGGAGACTCTGTACGTCAATATTCCGACGTGACCGTCACTCGCGTCAAGCTCATTTTGCGCGGAATCACGTCGCGCGCTCCGATTAGAACAAATTCCCAAGTCCTGTTATTCATCTTGAACGCAATGGAATTTAAAACTCCGAGCGCAGCTAATTCTAGATTCGTTTTAACGTTCCTCGTCGCGAGTCATCCTAATCTTCTTCTTCTTCTTCTTCTCCTCCTCCTCCTTCTTCTCCTCCTTCTCCTCCTTCTCCTCCTTCTTCTTCTTCTTCGGACATTTAATCTTCCCTGTAGATTCACCGATATCTTCCGCACTCTGAATTTTCCATCGCGTATTCCGAAAGCAGTTAAAAGGAGATCATTGCTTAATGTCGAGATGGTGTCTCTTCGTGATATGGCGTCCGTTGTCGCAGCTCGCTCTCTCCGCTGAGCATTGGGGAACGTTCGGTCGAGAGTCCCGTCGTGTGGTTCAATCATCAAGCCAGGTAGAGGTCCGTCGGTGTGGCGGAGGTGTGGTCCGGCTTCGTGCAGGCGCTTCCGGTCGGTGAGGCCGCGCTGGCCCCGCTGCTGGCCCTGGTGGCCGCCAGAGGCGAACGACTGGCCACGTCGGCACTGCTTTCCGGACCACCGCTGGTACAACCGCCGCCGCCCTGTTGCGACGTGTGAGTGGACGTGTCCCCGTTGCAATAGTAGTACGTGGAGTCTAGAACGAGAAGCGATTACGTTCATCACGCATAGAATGTGTGGGTTTCCCTATACCTGCGTATACAAATACCCTATTTAACATTTTGCAGGCTCAATTGACGCATTCGTATCCACGAATGAAATATCTGCTCGCGTCGCACGCTCCTACACGCGTTTTACGTTTTCCCCGCAATTCGTAACGTCGCATATTCAGCCGTTTGTTGTTGTTTCAGGCGTTTTTCGCCGCAACAACTTTTCCCATTCTGTTTATATACATGCGCATCGTATCGCGTAGAATTAAGATGGAATAAATTTCCGCGATGCGCCTATCTAATTTTCGCGTTTAATTACAGCGTTCACGTAACGCTCGCGTGGAATATTAAGAACGAGGAGGAGGAATAAGTTGAGCGCGCGCGGGGAAGCGGGTGAGAGAGCGCGTTGCGATATCGCAAACGGATCTATATTACGTGTTACGTGGTACGGGTTAGCAGCGTATCGCGTGTCCGATAAGAAAAAGAGAGAAAAAAAAGAGGTTTATTATTCTATTCTATATCTGCACGCGCGATGCGCGCTCTCTTCTATGGCTTGCACCACCACCGAGGTATCGC